AAGGCAGAACAGTCTATGGTACAAGATAAAATTGTGTTGACACCGGATGAGAGTGTGTTGACACAGGACGAGAATGCATCACGTAAAATACAATTTTCATCTAAACTTGATGGAGTTTTCATTAACCAAGCATAGAATAGCGTCGCAAATGCTGCACCAATAGAATGCCCAGTGATCCATAAATTTACTGGAAGTTTATTTTTTTGATTAATTTCTGCAACTTTAATTCGAATCGTATCAGCCATTCTTAATGCAGCACAATGATTTGCATTATTGGTTCCAAATAATGATTTGAAATAGCCTTCATGAACTTTACCAAAAAGATATGGACTTGCATCCATGCGTTGGAAAGTCGTGTCAGTTAACATTTGAGCAAAACTGGTTGTAGTTGTTCCTCGAAATGCCACAACAATAAAGTTATTTTTCTAATAAAATACAAATTAGTTAATTTTATTTAATATATTATAAAAATTAAAAATCAAATAATTTAACAATATGATATGTTTATTACCTCGGACCAAAACATGCCAGCATAGCAACCACCAAGATGGTTCAATTCCGATATAGAAGTAAATTTAAGATCAAACTGATCTACCTGTTCCCTAATTGAGTTTTCACTATCATAAAGAAGTTTTAATACTGTTCGAAAATCTTTGTCCGTTGGCTTCTTTTTCCTTGCATTTAATTTAGTAAGTGTCTCGTGTGCATTATGAACCATATTATCGTCTCGATGATATAAAATAGAAGAAAGATATAAAAGAAACTCTGCTCTATCTAGATTAAAATCACATTCTCGTTGATCAGACAGATCCAAAGGTCTATTCAAGGATTCCATGCCAATTGACAACTGATGTGCTGTTTACATATAAATAATAAATTAGAATTATAAGCAAAATAAATAATTATGAATATGAATTGTAGAGGACTTACGAATATTGATAAATGACAGTTGTTCCCAATGTGCAATAACATTTCGTTGATGATGTTTTCGAGAGAGACCCCATGATAATATATTTAATCCTGCCTCTAAATAAAACAACCCAAT